ATGAGAGCGCGCAGGCTCCGCTACCAGTGACAGCTCAAGAGATCCGCTGTCACTGGCAACACGGATCAAAAGCAAGAGGCGCAGCCTTTTCTGCACTACGAAACCAAAAAACTCTTGTGCCTTCACGCCACAGCGGTCGAGGAGAGCTTTCAGCGATGCTGCCTGCAAGCAACGGAATCTTCACGTTTACAGTCCCGATCAACCAAAGCACGATCGGACGGGCTGAGGTCTGAAAACCCAAACCTATCATCCCCCTCTTCCCCTCGGAACTTCAAGCCATTCGAGGAGGACGCCAGGGCCTCAGGATTGAAGGTCCTGCTTGGCGGGCCACATACGACCCCATCGATGACACCCAGGGTGGCTGCCCGCAGCAGCATGCCAAACACATCATCAGAAAGAAGGTCCGATCCCCTGGAAATATCAACCTCAAGCACTTGGCCGACAGAATGTCGCCACCGCTGCTTTCCAGCAAACAGATGCACCAAGGTTGGGACCTGAGGGTCAAACAGCTGTCTCCTGGTCCGGCGGTTGAAAGGAACGCAGGAGGGATCAAAGGTGGGACTCACCGCAACCTGAGACGCTAACCTTTCTGGGAGCCCAGGAAAGAGGGTCTTAACGATCAGCTGCAGCTCACTTTCGCTGCACGAATCTGCCGCCACATGGGCTGCAACCCACTCCCTTAGGGACGAAAGCCCAACCTCCTCCTGGCCAACTGATCGCTGCCAAAGCTGTTGCGATACGGCCCTTGAGGTCTCACGGCGCAAGAGGAAGCGCTCATACTCGCCAATCAGGCGAAGCACCAGAAACTCTGGCAACTCAGGAGTGCCATCCTTGAGTCTCACCGGGAGGATCCCGAGACCTGGATGCCGCACGTGAATGCCCCGGTCAGTCCAGTTGATCTCACAGCCCAAAAGCGGCAACGCATGCATCGGCAAGATTGGCTGCACTGACTCCCTGACCAACAACGTCCCGGCGGAGTTCACATGCATCAGAGCTTCGCCGACCGCGAGAGACACGCTCACCGGGCGGGACTCCTGGATTTCCTGAGGCGATGCCTGGCGGAGAGAAGCGGAGGCCCCGCTATCCAACAAGCCGTAGCCCGTCGGGTTGCTCACAGCACTAAGCCGCAAGGCCTTGGTCTTGATCGACCTTAGCACACTCAAGATTTCTGCATTGATGGCTGCGTTGCCATCCCCCTGACTCGGAGCTGCAGCCTCTGCCTGGTCATTCGCGGTCCCAGCAGGCGCGGTTTGAGGGTCTACGGTAGCAACCTTAGGTTTACCCCCAGGCTTGCCTTCCTTACCCTTACCTTCCTTAGCCTTACCCTTCGCCTTACCCTTAGGAGAGGAATCGGCAGGGGCCTTTGGTGTCTTAGGGCTAGTGGAAGGGGACTCCTCATTGGCAGCCTTAGCCTCCGCCTTTAACCTGGCTTTCACCGGGCATGAGTCCGCCCAGTGATCTTCGGCACTGCAACAGAAGCATCGGCCCCGCATCTTTTCTTCATCCTGGTCGTGGTAGAACTGACAGGACGACCCGTACGTGCAACCGCCAGCCGTTAGCCAGCTTCTGCAAGGTTTCATGCCTGCACCCGGCGACTTAGGTCCCGCTGGAGAAGTCTTGGCCTTCGGGGTACTTGGAGACGTCTGCAAGCGCTGCAAGCGCTGCTTCTTAGCATCATCCCCTCGGCCCGGAACCTCATCCTTCACAGGATTGTCATCTGTGGAGTGCATCAGGTGCTCCACCTCCGCCTGCATCATTCGACACAACTCCGACACAGCGTCGGAGGTCGGCTGGTAGTCAACCCCAAGCCGCTCACGGAAAGTGGCAAGTCGGAAAAGGCTCGCGGAGTGCTTCTGCAACACCTTTCCTGTCAGGACATCTAAACCCTTAACCAGAAGCGTGGTGTCAGGCTCTGCTGCGTGCAGTTGCTTCAGGCGCATACGCCATTGGGTCCACTGCCTCAGCAGCTTTGCAGCCTCCGACAAAGTGGAAGCAGCCTTCGGCGTCACCAAAAAACGCAACATGGTTGATCGTTCTGACGCTCCCCCGGGCTGAAACACCGTCATCAGACGAAAGATCATTCCTGCCACACTCAGGTGGCGTGAGGCGACAATGTCAACCCTCACAGCATCCGGGATTGCCTGAAGAATCAAGGTCACGCATCGCTGTTCCAGCAAGGCATGCTGGGGCTGCACCAAATTTACCTGATCAAACTCCTTCTGGATCGACAGCCTTTCAAGCGGGGAAGTGGAGAGCCACCGCACGTAGGCCTGGTTGGCCGCCTGGTATGTATAACCCCACCAGACACTTCCGGTGTCTGACAGTGAAGAAATCATCGGCTGGACCACTGCGATCCAATCTCCAAGCGCGGTGGGGTTGTTAGGGTTGTAGGCCTCTAGGGACGGTAGGGAACTTACATGTTTACCCACAGCTTCAGGCCTAAGGTCCTTAACATCAACCCGACCACTATTTCCAACCGGCGGGGCAGCTATGGGAAGACTTAAACCCGACGGGGCCGGTGGGCTCGGAGGCGGAGTGGACGACGGAGGCCTCGGAGGAGGCGATTGGTATCGAGGCATTGCCGCTCCCGCGCAGGAGGAGACAGCATGGCAGGATGGCACTGGAAGTTGTGCTCCAAACGCAGGATGCTTCGGAGGAGATGGACTGTTGCTCCACGCCCCAGAAGTGGGCGGAGCTGCGACCAAGGGCGAAGTCCACTGCGGAGGAGGAGGAGGGACGAAGTCCACAGGCTCTAAAACCAACGAACCATTAACCACCTTCCAGCTATGATTAACTCCCATAACCCTTATTACCCCAGACGAAGTCGGCAACTGGGCACGGGGAGACAGAGCGAAGTACTGAGGTCCAGCACCCGCGGCGGAATGAAGTCCAAAGTCCATCGAAGGAACCTCGGAAGGAGAAACGGGATTGGGAATCCCTGAAGAGGATTGGACTCCTGGGGGCCCTGTAAAAGAGTGAAGTCCAAAGTCCATAGACGGAACCTCAGAAGGCGAAAGGGTGGCCCCAGGAGCACTCGTAGTTGAAGTCAAAGGCACCATGTCCCCGGGAAAAGCCATCGGGGAGTGAACAGATGGGCCAAAATCCATATCGAGGGAGGACTGACGTGGAGGCTCTTGACCCAAAACCAGGTCGTGAGTGGAATGAAGGGGGTCCGAAGCATTCCAGGAAGACCACCCCTCAGAAGCGAAAGGAGGCAGAGGTGGCACCGGGGGCAAAGGATAACCCTCCTCAGACTGAAAGTTTACCCTTTGGCCCTTGAGCTCTAGTTCCTCTACTCTACGCCCAGAAGAGGCCGACCCAAAAGATCTGGATCCTCTCGTACTACGTTCAGCCTCAGCTTTCTCTAGCCTATCATGAAGATGCTCAACCAAAGACCGTAGTCTAACGATTTCGAAATGTTGCTCTGAGGGATCCGGGATCTCGTAGGCCGAACTCTTCTGGGATTTCTGGGCTTCCGGAGACAGAGGGATAGACCTCCTTGCAGTGCCTTCACTGACACTTTCAGCCCCTTCCAGAACTACCCTCAGGCTACTCCTGTCTACTTCTCCTACATAGTTAGATCTGTTCGGAACTCCTCCATCTGAAGCGACCGTACCGAACGTTGTGGAGGTCTCTGGGATCTCGAGGCTTGCCGAAGAATCTCCAAAGGCCTGCAAAGCCGTCCTGGAAACCCCCGCAACCTTCGGAACCGACACCCCAGAATCCGAAGAGTCCCGAGCAGTCTCTAGGCCAGGAGCATCACCCCTCACTGCTGTCGGCACAGAGCGCCGTTCAGTTGCCAGCTCGGGCTGTTCTCCAGATTCCAAAGAGGCTTCATGCTGTTGGGACTTGAGAGGAGACATGGTAAGCCAGTCGGGCTGCTCATTGTGGGTCTGCGGAACGGAGTTTCCCAGTACAGTCTGTTCGGGCCGGGTAGAGGAGGTTGTGGTCTTCGTCTTTAAGTTCGGGATCTCCTCAACTTGTTCTTGAAAGAAACGCCCTTTGACCCCAGGATCCGTCGCCTGCCCCCCAGCAGCCTTGATGACTTCCGAACTCCCTTGTGAACTTGAAAGTCCTCGGCCCTTGCCGCTAGCATTGTAATCTGGCTCTAAAACTTCGTCATCGCATCTCACCAGATCTAGAGGGCGGGCCTTCTGGATGGAGATTTCCATCTTCGCTTTCTCGCTCCAAAACGGGTTAACCTCAGGAGCCCCATCTTCCTGAGCAGAAGGACTCGCCGGTTCCTGCTCCTGCCGCTCCTGTCTGCGGCGTCTCAAAGCGGGGTCCATGGTTCGAGAGGTGGATCCTACCACTTTAACTCAGCGACTTATCACCCGACTAAGCTAGGACCTAGAGCCTAGACTTATAAAGTCAGGGAGCGGAGGGCGATACTTAGGGGCCTAAGCCTACAAAGTAGAGCTAGAGGAACCCTAAGGGAGCTTGGGCTCCTAACCTCTTTTCGAGGAGCTACCGGGGAAGGGCCTTTAGAAGAACCTGGCTACCTAAGCTTTGGACTCTAGGCTCAACCCTGAACTTACACCCCGAAAGCACGCAACAACTTTATATACGCTGAGCAAAAAGGCCTTCCGCGTGTCATCTTGCGCAGGGGCTCATGCTGAAGCTGAAACTCCAACAGCCACGATCAAACACCTCGTGTATGCATTCCCTCCGACCACGCTAGCGAATTGTCACTACAACAAGCGCAGGCTAATGTTTGTCACAACAGGAACCGTCGTTGCCTCCAAAGCAATCCCTCGAGGTTACCTTTTGGGTAATGGGCCTAGGAACTCGAAGCTTAGCAGTTGTAATGATCTGCGCTTTCGTTTTGCCTCTGTTTCGGCTGCGGCTCTTGGGTTCAGGTGCTTCTGGGTTGGGGTGATGTGGACATAGTTGGAGCTGCTGGAGAGGTTTAAGGTTTCGGGGTTCTGGATCCGAGGTCCGGTGTTTTCGGATTCGCAGATACGCAATCTCAAGCGAGAATTGGCACCGGAATCGCGGTCCTTCTTCGTCCCAAGACCAAACAGCCTGCCACCAAGGCACCGGCCACGCCTGTCGACATGGATCCGTTGATGGAGGTAGCGCTTGCTTGAGTTCATGCTGTTACCACAAGCACACGCAGGAGTAGCTTTGGTTTTCGCTGCATGCTACGAAAATCTGACGGCTCGCAGCTCTGAGGACTCTAAGGCTCAATCGAACGCAGACTGCTGAGTAGACATCAGTCAGCTCTTCAGATCGTGAATGTCAATACCGCGGGCGCGGCATGCGGCGGAGTTTGTTCCAACACGCAGCCCCACCCAAGCCATCAAAATTGCTTGACTCCTGAAAGAAGTTGCTCGAAGCAATGTGGTCATTCAGCTCCTCCGTGCGGGTGCTGTCTTCCATGGCCTGAATGCTGCTACCATAAATCTGCTCCCCGGTGAACCGCAGTGAGCGGCCTCCCATCATCGCACTGAACACATTCTCACCGCCCCATTTCTCGTGGGCATCCTCCTTTTCGAAAGCATAGCGGAGGTGCTTTGATGCAACGTCCAAGAACCTGTCCCACTGCCAATCGGAGGGGACGGCGCCGACCTCCTTGGCCTGCTTGCAAAAAACCCAGAAGTCACACACGATCTCGTCGTTGGAGGCATCACCGTCGTAGAGGCCGTGAAGGTTGCCCCCACCCCACGCATAGTCATCATCCACTCGCATGCGGTAGCAGTCCACGAGCCACTCGTACTTCTCCGCCTCGGACAAGCCTATTGCCCAAGCGGCTGCGCTCTTACCAGAGTCACCAGAGGGAAAAGCACTGCCCAGGCCCTGTGAGAACATGGTCTTCTGGAAGTTTCGCTCGAAGGTGTTCTTGGGTCTGCGCTTGGCTGTGGCACGCAGCTGGCTCAAGTAGCTCGTTGTTGCCGAGATTGCTGCGCCATCCTCCCGCTGCAATCTCAAGCACTCCTCTGTCAGGAAAACTGCGTGGCACTGCAGCGAAGCATGTGTGACACCCTCGTGCTTCAAAGACTTCTGCGGAGCGCGAACCCTTGCTTAAAAGACGCGAGATAGCAAGAGAGAAAGAGAGAGCGAGAGAGAGAGAGAGAGAGAGAGATGGAGATGGAGATGGAGATGGAGATGGAGATGGAGATGGAGATGGAGATGGAGATGGAGATGGAGATGGAGATGGAGATGGAGATGGAGATGGATATATATATATATATATATATATACACATTCATATGTGTGTGGACCCCGCAAGCTCCTCTAGGTCTTCGATGGCGTCCTCGAGCCTATTCGGGAAGTCTGGAAAGCTCAGGCTTTCCAAGGCCTTGGCGCGGCGGAACAAGGCCTTGTAGTTGCGGGCATCAAGGCCGATGGCGTCCGTGGCCGCTTTGTGTGCGCACAGATAATCCTTCTGGGCCAAGTGGACCTGGGCCAAATTCGAAGCAATCTTGCTTGCTTCCTCGCGATGTGCAGAAACCCGCGGGTGGCCAAGAAGCTTCAATGCTTCGTTGTACTTCACCATGGCCTGCTCGCATCGTCCATCTGCAAAGTGGCCGTTTCCCTCGGTTTTCAGCTGGATGGCCTTCTCAAAGATCTCAGCGGTCACCCGTGGGGTAGTCGTCGACCTCTGGGAAGCCTTGTTGCAGGCGAGCTGCATGAGTTCGAGGGTGGCTGGCTCCCAGTTTACATCCCCGAAGAAGAAGACTCGGCCACCGCCCTCGCCTTCATGCAAGGCGACCGAAGTAGAACCAGGGTGCGAGTCGTTTCCAGCCATCATGGGCACCATGGACTGGGTTCGATTCGCAGCAGTGGTGCACCATAACTTCTCCTTCTCAGGGATGTCGTGCATCATGTTGCTCTTCACGGAAAACTGCTCCAGTTTCCTAGCTTCTGGGAAAATCTCTTTGCCAGCGGCTGTTTGCGAATGTACTGCCCGAAAGTAGGCGAAGCCGTCCCACTGGGTGCCGAAATACTTGTTTGTCTTGTCGTAGATGCAGGTGTTGCTGGCATGCAGAATCACTGTGCCGCCCTGCTCGTAGAATCGCACCAAGTCTTGGCAGAACACGTCCCAGTAGATGTCCTCGCAGAAGTAATCGTTGAGGAGGATAGTGTGGTACCTGCCTGTGAGGATCTTCGTCTGCAAAGATCTCGCCATCAACGTGAGGTCCTCCTCTGCCTGCACGACATCGATGTTGCTCTGAGGGAAGATCCTCCATGAGCTGGTGTTGAGAGCATCAAGCATGAAGGCTTCGCCATAGCAAACCAGAAGGCGGTCCGAAGCCATGGCTCGTCAGTTTGAGATCTTCTCTTTTGCAACAAATTCCGATCGCTGTATTGGGAGGTACCTTGAAAGGAACTGAAATCCGCATATCCCTGCAGATGATCTCTTGGTGCTTCATGCAAAACCTCCTGCAGGACTTTGAGCACAATGCGGTACAGGTGATCGGCAATGCTTCAACGCACTCAGATGACCCTGGCAGTGTAAACAAGGGGAATACGCGATTATAGGTTGTTGATCGCCTTTATCGCTTTGATGACCGGCTTGCAACACAGATGGCCAGTACAAGGACGCGGTACCTGTAATGCGCAGCATGCGATGTTTGGGGCGCATTAGGAACGGCACTGGATGCCACGAGAAACCACGACTCTGCAGAGCTCGCTGGAAAGCTGCAGAAGGTAGGGACTAGCAATCTGCACATTACCTTAGTGACTTAGTGATGGGGCACACACACACACAGGGGCTGTTACAGTTTGGCAAAAAAAGCGACTGCGGCAGCATAGCAGATCACCACTGAGGGGAGACTGAGAACAAGGACGCTGCCGCGGCCTTCAATTGCCGCAGGGCCAGCGCTGTGGCGCTGCGATGCCCTGACCACAGGCCCGGGATGGCGCAGCGAAGCCCTGGAAGCAGAGGGGTGAGGGCAGAAAATGAAGCAGAAACTGATGTCTCCGCATCCCTGCCTTGCCAGACTCGATGGCGAGGTGCAGTGAAGCGCACAGCTTGAGCGAGGTTGCCAGCTGTCACTTAGCCAAGCCATGCAGATATCAAGCGCCACCCAGCCATCTGACTTTCAAGCTGGCTCCCCTTGTGAGACAAAGAATACTCAGATTGGCTGCGAAGCTCGAAATCTTCACGACTCTTGTGACTCTCAGACCCATTCTTCTGAATATCTCCATAGAAATATCTCCAGGATAGGTTTCATAAGTCATTGTCTTCCTCTACCATGCTCCTTATACCACCTAGCAGGGAGGGTCCCCGCACCAGCTCAGAGCCTCAACGGCTGCAACGTTGCCTCGCCCTCCCGCCAAGCCAAGCTGACCACTGGGATGGCTCCATTGAAAAGCAAGCGGAGTCGGTAATGAGTCAATGACAGGAGCGATCTGAGTGGAGGCTTCAAGGAGCAACGCACCCCTCGGCACCTTCAGAAGAGCGAAGATCACCGGCTCAGGTCCCGAGCTTAGCAAAGCTCGGAGGCTTTCCTGGGCGGCCCACACCCTACGGTACCGCGGTCCCAGGTCTCCCTGAAAAGCCGAGATTCGCAGGCCAGCCGGCACAAGACCTGATAGAAGATTGCCAGAAAGAAGCGCAGGTGCCATACCGTACACCGCCCTGCTGCAGTGCTGCGATCGTGCCTGTGGCTTCTCCGGGAAGAAGGGCAGGCACAGGCAGGACACCTGAGGCAGCGTCAGGATTCCGCTTTTGTCTTGGATCTTTGGTCCTTCGTCCTACTCTGACCCTTTGCTGGTCTTTCTGTGACATACGAAGGTACATGACTAAGCTGTTAGTCTCCGTGGGCGGCCTAGGAAAGAAATGCAGATTACCTGCTTGGTGAACAAAAAGAGAGCAATTCGGAACAGCAAGGCGCTGCCCCCTTGGCTTTGCCCGCCGGGCCTCTGCGAAGCCATGCACCAATGCCCTGACATCGGGGGCTCACTCGTATCCGTCTTGCTACAGTTCTCCGGAGTCCGGGACATGAAGGCCCTACAGCTCGACCATGCGCGGTCACTTTCACCAGCTGAATTGAATGGGGTGCGAGAGGAAAGGCGCGGAGACCGGGAAGACCGACAGCCGCATGGCCTGGTCCTCCAGGCCCTAAACCCCAAACCTTCGCATTCTACGCTGCCGATGTGTCTCTGGGGCCCCTCGCGCTCGAAGGGATAGGTCGGTGGCGGTCCCACAGCGCTGCCAGGAGCTAAGGGCCTGAGACGGCAGAGGGTTGTAGTAGGCCTTCAGGCTGAGTCGCTGGGGTTGTAGTGGGTTCCAGAGCGTGAGAGTGAGTCATGTCCCGGTCATTCTATCGAGGACTTCGCCTAAAGCCTCGGCTGCTTTTGCAGTGTGCATCCACAGATGGTCTGTGTAGTGCCATCGAGAATCGTGAGTTCTGTCATCACCTTACATGAATCGCGCAGCGCATAGCTCCAATCCACACCGAGATCCCGGCACACTCCGCTGCTCCGGCAGCAGCTGCAGCACGCGCGTGTTGTGACGCCTGCGGGGGTTGGGGGATGTTCATGATTAAAGCTCCTTACAGTATGTATGCGTGTGTTGTTTACTCTAATGGACCTTCGGGCGCACGATCTTCACTGTGACGCACTCTAATGACTCTACGAAGATGCCATAAGTGACCCGTTGGGTTGCTTCAGGTTTCAAGCCAAGCTTTTCTGCAGGGGGGTCGTTGCAATCTCGAATAGCAGATAAAGGAGCCGCAGCTGGAGCAGCTGCTACGAGTACTACCAACAACCACAAGGACATACTGCTGCAGCTTCTTCTGACCACGACCACCACAATCACTCCCACCACCACAGCCACCACAGCCACCACAGCCCAGCATGTATGCTTTGGACAGCATCTGGGCTCCAAGCTGATGGACTCAAAAATCAGCTGCAAGGCTACTGTAGCCCTGAGGCCATCATCTAGACTATTTTTTTCCGCACGAGGACCAAGATATAGCCGAGACCCGGGAACTGAGTCATCATGAAGCTGCAGAACTCGCGGTGAACGAAACGACTACTGAGCCGGCCAAGGCCCCGACCAGTTGCAACATCAATGCGCAACACCTGAGACCCCCAAGCATTCCCAGCTCGAAAGCGACGATTCGCCACGATGCAGATCTGCTGTACAGTCGTCTCTACCGAAGCTTAGTCGTGCTTCCTCATGTCATTACAGCTCGGTGTAGCCAGCTGCTTTGCAAGACTAGGTCATGATCTTATGAAGTGTAGCATTCTGTGCGCATGCGCAGCTTCCGTTCTGGAATACGAACGGGAGCCTAACCAGATCTTACTGGACGATGGTACTACACACCACATGCTATTGCTTGTTGGAATCACCAACCCAATCATCACAGAACAAAGCAGACAAGTAGCTCTTGGGCGACCTCGGGAATGTGAGTGCCTTGTTTCCAGGCCTGCAGCATGCAATCAGTTCAGTCAAAGCTATCGAGCCGTGCCGCCCGTGCGGAGGGGGAATGCTCAGACTGCACCTTGCCAATGTATCAATCATTACCCGCCATCCGAGACCCGGCAAGGCTGTCAGTTTGCGAAAAGTAAGAATGTCAAGAGTCAACATTCAAGCAAAACGATAGCCGTAGTCATGCTAGCATCAATGATGATCATGTCTAACTACCTCGAACTGGCTACGCCGCTGCAGATGCCTGTCCACTTCCGAGCACGGGACGCGATAAGACGCGCTTCGGACGTGCTGACTGCGTAGTTGGTTCATCGTGCATAACGTGTCAGGGAGCTGCTGCCGGAAAGCCCTGGTGGGCTGGATCCCAGGCTGCAACTCGAATCCCTATAAGAATTCAGAACCCTGCCCATGTCTACAACAAACTGAATGGCTAGGAATGTCTACAAACCTCCTTGGCCTTAAGATTGAAACCCGCTCCGGTCTCTGGGCTTCTTCTGGCCTCCACTGCCAAGCGGAATCCATCGCTGGCCCGGAGTCGATCTAGGGCCTCAGCGGCACCCACGGCTCCAATCGAAAGTATCGCTGCGACATAAAGAAATGTTCAGTGCGTTTGGTAATCCCTTGCCCCTGCTATTAATCCCCCCCAGAGACTGGGAAAGTATTGTTATGATTATGATGTTGTTCCTGCTCTTCCTCCTGCGTTTGCTCTTACTCTTGCTCTTGCTTTTGCTCTTACTCAAGCTCTTGCTCTTGCTCCTGCTCTTGCTCCGGCTGGTGCAAATTAGGTGTTAAAGGGCAGGTTTGATTTGGGCAGGATTCGTGCCCATGGGGTTTATTTTCAGGAGGGTGGTTAGCACAAGGGGGGAGTGATTGGTTGTGAATCAGGTCTATAACGATTTCAGAGGTGCAATTGGACGGAACATTTGCCTCAGCGAGTTGCTGAGTTCGAGAAGGCAAAAAAAACGCCACTTACGATGTGCTGGTCTCGGCCTGAAACCTCTCAGAGACCAGTCGGCTACGTGTCATTTGTGGACGCGGGTGTGCCCCGAATCTTTGAGTCCCTGCCTCCGGTCTGGATACCAGCAGCCGCACCGCCTCCCGGATGGACGGTTCTCTGAGTTTTCTTGCCTTGCAATGCGTGACATCTAGAACTGTGCCCTCCGTTGATTTCAATCTGCCTCATGATCCTCATGGGAAGCCACCAGTTGACACTCCCCACTTTCGCAGTGCTACGTGCACAACTCATAACTCTCCCGACCCCTCCATTCTAGAATTCTAGCGCTTTCTCGCACGGCTCCAGGGCCTGGAGGAGGCTGGCGGAGGCCGTCGAGCGCCTCCGGTGGAACCCCGCTTTCTGCAACAAAACGCTCTTGGGAGGCTGAGGCTCTGCGGCTCTGCCTGCAGGGCTCCTTGCCGCCGACACCCTGGCCAATGGCCTCCGAAGAGGGCCGCTGTCGGCCGCCAGACGCAAGAGAGAGGGAGAGATAGAGAGAGAGAGAATGAAAGAAAGAAGGAGACCGAGGTCTGGGCACGCAGGAGCTGCTGAGCATCCAGTTGCCTGGGTCTTGGATGTCTTGGTTCTGGTCTTCACAGAGACTGAGCAGTCAAAGAGACCCGACACTTTTCTCTCCAGTGGCGCCAAGTGCAGTCATGAGCTGAGCGGGCACCCCAGTTCAGGAAGACTTGCGAAGAATTCTAACGTGGATCCGGGGCGTTGGGGTGCTTGTCAGCCACATCACTCAGAACTCAGAAGTAACACGCGCACGACGGCGCATCTGGCATCTGTAGTTGCTGGAAATTCTCAGAGCACTTGACTTAGTCAGTCGCACGCTTCTTTTTCAGGGCGAGCTCCGAGAAATCCCAGTCTCAAATCAAGAGCATGACCTACCGAACCTAAAGTGGATCCGGTGGATCACTCAGAAACATGCACTGCCCAGATTCATCCAGCTTCGGCACTTGTGACCTCCGAAACAAGCTCTGTTTGATCTCGCCAACTGCAAGTGCCCCAGTGCCCCAGCCTCTTTCGCAAGGACGGATCCGTGCAGCTGCGCAGAAGAGAAGGGCGCCTTCATTCGTCCTCGGCATCACATCTCGCCCCTCCCACCACCCGGGCGGTTTAAGAAGCCGAAGCGGTCCTCCGGATCTTCGACCAGGTCCAGGACCGCACGCCTGAGAGAAGCGACTGCTGCACCTGTGATTGCTCCGTGCCCAAACCCGTGCCCAAGATGCGAGGCACACACAATGCTGAGCCTCCGACCGCGTCGTCATGTTCTTCTGGACCTCGCAGCACGCTTGCATCGCAAGACGCTGCCGAAGGGCGGGTGCGACGCAGGACCCCCGGCCAAGGTGTGATACGGCAGCGACTTCCACCCCTTGGGCGGAGTGCAAGCCGCGCTCGAACCTAAGATCTGACATCTGAAAGGATTAGGGCTTAAGGATGACGTGCGATCCACTATTTCGGAGGAGGTGCCGCTGTCGGCTGCAGTGATGACCAACACAAGCAGCAGGACAGTGTGCAGAGTGGACCACATGCCAAGGGCCTCAGCACAACCGGAATATCTCTTCCGTGAAAAACGTGCCGTCTTGAAACGTCAAGTAGGAGTGAGATCCAAGCATGTTTAGGCAAGCGGCTTCCCAAGGAGGCCGATCTCGTGTCGCAGAATGAATTGCGGATCGGTAGAACGTAGGCCAAAAGCGGCCTCTAATTCGTGGCTTTGAAATGGTAGATCTTGGGCCAGAAGCGTGCTGCAAAGAGCAAATCAAAGAGGGAGCTCCAGAGCCAAGCACTTCCCGAGGACGAGGACCCAGGGCCCCGGGCTTCTGAGCTTCCGTCGTCGCTGCTCGCCGACAGCTCTCCTTCCAAGACCCAGGCTGGAGATGCGTCGGATCCGTCGGATGCGCGCTCCGCACTACAGCGCGCCTCCGGGTGTCGCAACACGGAGGCGAACATGGCCTCAGACAGGCCGGTCATGAGATTTCCGTTTGGTGGACACTTACACTCAGGGGCTCTAAGCCTGCGACGCATGCCCCTGCGGAGCTCGACGACCGGAGCGCCGCCTGCGAGGCCTCAGCACGAATCGAATTGGAAAAAACAGGGTCACCGATGAGACTTCGACTGAGGCAGCAGCACGAGCAATCGCCTGGCCGAAGCTGTTCACAGCCTGCCCAAAGCTTTAGATCCGAGAGACATCACCTCCGCGCAAAAGCCTGGCCTCCACACAGAGATCTGCATCCATGCCCTCAAAAGCACACCCACATAGAAACGCCACCTGGCAAATGTCTCAGAGTCCAAGCCCCATACACGTCCAAATGGAGTTGTGATCCCCCCAGAAAGGAGCTCCGTGCAAGGCACCTCGTCCAGACCCGCGGCACCAACCGGTCGCGAAGACAAGAACTGCTTGAGTTTCGCCCTGCAGTCCTGCCATCGAAAGGGAGCTTCAGCTTCGATGTTGCGCACGCACGAATGCGCGCAGATGCATTGGGCTTGAGTAGACCAGAAGCGCACAGATCAAGACCCGGCCTCGAGCGTCCTGACAACCTTGGAAATCGCGGAGCTGTGGCAAAAGCCCAGATCCACAAGAGACTTCGGAACGCCTACGGCTTCGAAGCCCAAGATTTGTCTCGCCCGCCCGACAAACTCGGAGCGAGTCATGTCCGGGCCCAATGTCGGGACAGCGGGCAGGGAGCTCAACCCGCTTCGTTTTGCATCTGCGGCCGCCGGTTGGGCTTGCTCGTCTGCACAAGGCAGGGCCACATCCTGCCATCATGCCTTGGGCCCACAGCCTCCAAGCAATCTGGCATTCAATGCAGGTCCAGACACACTGGATGGTTGTCCACTGCACTCGCAAGCTGTGACAGCTTTGCTGAAGGTCGAACACATGCCCACGCAGGGCAACTTCCCCAGCCTTTTTGCCAAAAAACTGTACAAGGCAATCATTGATCACAGCCTACTCCTTGTCAATGACCTAAAACTGACCTAAAAAGGGTGCCTCCCATTGCCGCATACGTTTGTAAAGATATTCGGGGCAATCCCAGCCATAGGATCTCACAGCAGCTGCCCACCAGGAGTATCGGTCAAAGCTTGCCTCGCTGCCTTCTCTGACTGGAAGGAGTCGTTCCAACGCATCAGGAAACGACTCCCCCACAATTCTCTTGCACTTCGAGCAATGCCAACCAAGCCAGTCTTGGTCACAATCTGAACATGGTTTCGACCAAGCAAGTTGGATCGTCTGCAATACGTCCATGCTCTCGCTCAGGAACTGCTCAAAACAGTTGCAGTGGCCATACCATGTTGGACCACAGAAGCCGAAGATTCTCAGAAAAGCAACAGCACCAAATGGCCTTACATCATCGCCATTGCGCTTGCCAGTTCGATGAGGAGGGCGCCTTGGGTACTGCTCGAGCTGGCTGAGGATTGCCTGCAGCACCGTCATCCGATCACGGTGGGGGAAGGCCACGAGGATGTTGGGCGTCCGCCCAACCTTATCTGAAAGACAGTCACTGGCTAAAAATGGCACCCAGGGACCTGCTGGCGTAAAAAACGGTTTCTCCCGCTCCAAGTAAGCAATCGCCGTCAAGGATATCTGGCGTGCTATGAAGGAACGCGATCCTCGCCCAAAGTCTGTGCCCGGTGGAATCTTTGCATGTGCCTTCTTCCTCTCTTCTTCGACAAGTTCCGGCAACTGTCGGGCAGGGCGAAGCTGGAAAGTGGCAAACATATAAGGATCTTCCCTGTCTACTTCGAAGAGGAACTGCCCTTTTCTTCGGCCGCATTCTTTCATGCCCTCGTGAATCCTGAAGCTTTCTGCGAGATCTTCCGGAAGTTGGCAACCCAGCCGTCCCTCAACTTCTTCCAGCTCCTGCTCCCCGACGCCTGGCAGCAAGTTTTCCAATGCTTCAGGAAGCAGCTGCCCCCAAAGGAGTTCGATGTTTCTCCAAATGCTGCGCACTCGGCACCTCACCTGGAACACAGGATAGTACAGCTTCAAGACCTTGGTCTTCATGGCGTTGCGGCTGGCTCCACAAGCAACTTCGAAGGCATGCACTTGAACGTCTGCTTGAAGCGGGCGAAGTACCATATGGCCGGCCAGCACCCTCCAATGCTCGTCCTCATCCGCAACACGAAATTGCTGCGACGTAGCAGCTAAGCGACACAACGTCTCCGGATCCGTCCAAAGTGCCCCAAGGCGAAAAAACCAAATCACTGTTTGGGAGGACCACGTCATTGCTACGATGCTTGATGGTGCTGGCTTTTTTAGCCAAATGCCTGGCAAGCGGTTCAACAGATAGTTTCAAATGGCATACTCATCACCGAAGAATTACAATTAGATATTGACTATCATTTATCATGTAACGTAACCATCAGACAATGACTATCATTGATCATGTCGCTATTTATGTCCAATAATGTTCATTATTCATTACTGTTCACATTCCTGTTCAATCATTAATGGTGGTGTAGAGGAAGCCATAGTATTGTAGCCATAAAAGAGATCATTACTACAGTAGATGCATGGGTCTGCGGTATCTCTCAGCCTCGGGCTCCCTCGCTGGGAGGTGGCCCGGGCGCCTCTTTCGGTGTCCGTGGAGCTCGGATAGCCGGGGCCTGGCAACGCTTCGAGGACCGCGCACCAGCTACCTCAAACAACGACTGTGTACCTGTCTATGCGTAAATCTGTGAGCCGGTGTGTCTGTGTGTCCGTGCCCGTTGAGCTCACATACTTGCAACATGCATGATAGACAGTCGTAGTGACTTAGTGCATCGTGCAGAGTACTCGGAACCTCTCAAGCAGGACTCTCTCCCTCTCTCCTTCAGCTCTTTGCTTGTGCTTGTGGGTGGGGTGGGTGCATGCGTGCAGGTGTGCGAGCAGGCACAATGATCGGGGTGACGACAAGGACACTGCCCTGTGCCCTGAATAGTTCCCTTTGGCCTGCTTTGTTCTCTCTCTGGACGTTTGTCGCATCCGTATGCCTCAGGAGCTTGGCCACGGGAACCCCATTCCGCAGAACTTCTGATACTTCGAGGCTTGTCATTCGGCTCACTTGGGGCTCCCTGCGTGTCACTGCAGCCAGGAGTTCCTCCCCCTGAAGGCGCCCGATGACTTGCAGACGTCCACAGCCGAAACCTCACCCGCCACCCGCCTTGCGCTCGCGGCTTGTCAGGACCAGGCCCTGAAACCCCACCTGGCACCGCCAACACGCAAGGACTCGGGAACGAGTCAGAATGAGCGATGCACTTCTTGTTTTATCCGGCCGCGTCGTTTCACTAAGTCGGAATGCCCACGGCCCATGTCTCAGCTTGCGCCGGTGAAGTGAGATGCCGGAACGGTGCGCTACCACGGCAGCTGCAGGCCTCTTATGCAGAAGCTAAGGAAGCGAAGGCGCCCCAGGATAGGAGGAACGGCTCGATGCCAAGAAGGCAAACTTCTGCAACACATAGGACGACATCCCCCATCCTGGCCTTCGACACCAGAGAAGCATCGCTTCGAGTCTGGTGCAAAATTTCTATGCGGGCTTCGAGCCAGGGCACCCGAGCGCCTAAGGCGACTGCACCTCGGGCCTAGGGCAGGGCCTAGGAGGAATATCGGCCACGACTCCCGTCACTCCAGCTTGTACTGGCAGACCTTCTTGCAGCGCAGTAGCTGCTCGTTGCACATCATCTTCCCGGCGACTGCAGCACCTGCACTGCCTGCGGCGGTCCAGGCACCTACAAAGACGCCACCTGTTGCGAGATCCATGCCTGCGCCGAGCACACCCCCAACCATGGCACTCTTCGCCACCTTATCGGCGCACTTGCCAAACTCGTCTGGGTGGAAGGAGGTGCCCAGGCATTCTTTCACGCATTCTAGACTCCGCTCGGCCAGCATTGCGGCTCAGCTCCGGGGGAGGGGAAACGGTCAGACGGTCGCCTGTAAGCCAAAGCTGCAGCCTTCGGTCGACCACTGCATGACGTCAGGGCTGCACAGATCGCCTGCATGAACTGCCAAGTGCGTGTAACCAAGCACCCTTTCTGTCTCCTTCCCTGATCCATTCATCGCTTCAACGTGCTTTTGGGACGGCGTGTTCTAGTTCTTTCAGCTTTGCCAGTGCCAGCATGGTGCACTGATTCGCAATGCTACTCCGGCGGCTGCTCACCACATTGCATCGTCGACTGATGCATCGGTTCGTGGAAGAACGAACACTTCTCTGCAGATGAAGCCGGTGACGCTGTCGGAGACTCCTGGCCGTCCTCGTGGAAGTTCGTGGAAGATCGTGGAGGGGCTTGCCGAGAGAGGGACCCGAGATTTGGGCTCATTGCACCGGCGAGTGGAGCTGGAGGCAAGCGATGGCCGCTTGGGTCACAGCGGTGAGGGGCAAGCTGCACTCATGCAGCTTCGCCAGCGGCCAAAACCTGGCAACTGTGCTGTGCCGCTCTTGCAGCTCTTGTGGATCTTGCCACCCTGCCACTTGCTGTAGCCAAGAGGCGTAAGACGATCAGACTCCCAGGCTTCTTCAGCCCCTTTGGAGTATGCCAGCTGCACCTCCTCCGAGGTGAAGGCCGTTCCTGAGGGCAAGCGTCAAAGGCTTGGGGAGGGACGGTCCCGCACTTCCAGAAACATCCCAGGCTCGCAGCAGGAAGAGCACATCGGGCTTGCCGGTCGAATCTGCCATGAAACCCATCAACTCTGGCTCCGCCAGGCTCTCACGTGGCACATTCGTCTCTGCCACGGCCTCAGACGGCACCGATGCCACGCTGCACGCCCGTGAAGTCCCGCCCCAGCCTCGTCGACAACTGACCTGAAGAGCTCCTCCTGAACGGCGCTGCTGGAGGCTGAGGCTTCGCTCACATTCTTTGGCTCCGGGTGTCCACTGGGCCCGTTGTACCTGCCCGCAGGTACAATGGAATGGAAGCCATGCCACAAGGCCACGATCCCCAAGACAGACTCAGGCTCAGGCAATCCCGAGTTAGTTCCCACAGCACCTGACTGCGGAATGAGACTCACGGGACTAGGGACATCACTCCCGAATCCTCGAAAAACATCTCCGAAACCGTCTCTTCTCGGGGCGTCCCAGGCACCGCTGCGGCGCAGGAGCACGGCCTCCACAAGCAGGCAGGAGAGTCGGAATCCGCACCAAAGCCCTACGACAGATCTTCAAAGGATCCCCAGAAACCCAACAGCCCCAAAACACAAAAAAATGGAAAGGATCCAAAAGGCATCGAGTCGGGATTTCTAGAGTGAGCCCCTAGCCTGGCCGTCTGCAGTGGCCAAGACGGCTTCACAGCCCAGGGCTTGCGAGAAATGAGCGGCCTGAAAGTGCCCAAGAAAGGGGTCTAAGGATTTAAGGGTTTGAGTTTGAGGGTTTGGTTTAGGCTTCAAGGAGATTCTCAAGGGGATTTAGCGGGCTTTAGTTGGGGAGCCCCAGCTCCTTCCCACTGCGCCTTGTCCCCGAAGTCTCGGAGCCCGTCTTCCTCGAGCTGCCTGCGCTCCTCCAAGCACCGGCCGTGGGTGCCCAGATACTCCTCGGCGCTGCGACGCGGCGCGGCCGCAGAACTGAGTGACTTGGTGCAGATTCTCGTGCGATTAAGGTGTAAGTGTAATTGCATTAAGGAAACCGCGGGGCACGGGCACGGAGTCTTTTGTTTGGGTGTTTTTGGCAGAACCTTGGTACATTGGGCGGCTTAGTCCAACTGGGATCGGATCCTTGTAGCCGGTGAGGCCGAGGTCCACTTGCAGGATTCCGTTTGACCAGCTGACGCGCTGGAGCCGAAACTTGGAGCCATCGTAGATTCGCGAATTCCTCGGATGGCTGCCGGGAAGAGGGGTGTTGCCTGAGCCAGAATCTCCGAAGAAACTTCAGGATGCAACGAAGCATTTCAACCTAGTCCGATGAGATGGGATGCCATGAGATGCTACCGGGTACCATGCATTGAGCGGCAGGGAGGAGTCCACACGAGGTGATGAGCGATCGCAGAGCAGAACACGATCAGGCGTAATCGCAACAAAAAAAAGAGCCAACCAAAAGCTAGACTATGGCAGGTTGCTGCAGCGCACATCATTTCGTTCACAACAAGAACTGGTGGCATGGCATTACATCCTCTTTCGCGCCACAACATAGCATCTTTCGAACACAACACGGCACGACATAGCAGTGCAGAGCAAACAACGGGGCATAACCCGGCATAGCATGGCGGCATGGCGGCATAGCGGCATAACATGGCGGCGGATATGAAGCCAGCGCATCATGGCAGAGCAACCTAGCATGGAAGAAAATAGACGATACAACGACATGGTGTCGTGCCATTGTCAGCTGGTCTATTCAAGTTGCTTTGCTTGATATATTGCGCTTGGATCATTTCGTCCAAGTTGCTTAGTGACGGCTTCAGTCCAAATTTCCTCGATCCGGCTGTCGCTGCTGTGGGCCTGCAAAAGCATCTGTAGGACACAGGTACATGCATACAAACCCTGTGGTGATGAGGATAGAGGATTCAGGAGATCAAGAAGGGGGAAGCCCCAAAGCCCGATTTCCGGTCCTTGCGGTCGTTCTGCGGATGGAAGGAGACACGAACTTGCTCAGGCTGCAAACGGCCAGGCAGCTCCTACAAACGAGTCCACGTCAAATCCCCCCAAGCCCAAGCGCTGTGCACAGATGTCGGCACGTCTTGTCCCAGCGGTCAAGCCGCAAGCCTCACTCAAGCACGAAATGCTATGCTTGGCCTCGGCGGAGAGCAGCGAGTAGGGCTCGTGCTCCGCCATGCCGAGCACCCGGAACACGAGGCTAGGCTTTTGATGCAAAGATTCTGAGACGAGATGGCCAGCACTCGAAGCTTGATGCAAGAATTCTTCACGGATTCTAGCTGCTGCAACTGCTGAACTCCGCTCCCCGACAAGGGCAGAGTCCCTGGTCCCCTGCCTGCGGCCCCGCGATGGGCTTGCAGAGGCCCTTGGCACAGACGGAGAAGGTCTGCTGTGGGGCACCGCTGTGGCGCACTGCGTGGGGCCGCGGCTTCAGCGCAGGAGACCCAGTTTCGGCTTTCCGTCGGACCGGAGCCTCGGCCCGGTCTCAACGAGGTGCCGCCCTCTGGCTCCGAGAAGCTGAGACTCCCGGCTCAAGCTCCGTCTAGCGCTGCGGCCACGCCTAAGGGAGAGCCCCCAGCCCACGGTAGGCCCAGGCAAACCGAGGCTGCTCCGCTCCTTCCCAGCTTTTCGATCGCAAGTGCCCAGACTTTGCCTCTGTACAGAAAGCGGCTTCGCTCGTGACCCCACTTCGCCGGCAAGCGCCGGAAAACCAGCTCACAGAGTTCTGCCATTACAAGGACATCGCCAGAGCAGGAAACTCACATTAACTTGGAAAGAGCTGCTCTTTGGCGGTGGCTCTTAAGAGCGATTTTCGTCAAGTCCGCTTTAAGCAGATGCGCTCTTGAAAAAAGAAGCTGATCTAGGAGCTTCGTTGATGGTACTCCTACAAGTCCGCATCCAGGAGGCAGCCCGTCTCGGAAGATGCCCCCCCAGTCCTCGGATCCAAGCAGCGAATGGCGTTGCCCGCGAGGCCGAGGCCTTGGACCTCTTGCTTTCAAGCCGCAGCCTGCGGACCAGCCGGTAGAGGGAGGGAAAGGCGAGGAGCGTGAAAACCAGGCCTGGGCTGTGGAACGAACATGATCAAACATGGTTGTGAAGGCCGTTTGAAGCTTTGTTTGGCCTCGGCCGAGGATCTGATCCCCAGGCACACCCAGAAAAACGTGGTGATCAGCGCCTGCGAGCTTCGCGCCACCTCCTCAAGTCACATGAGCTCCAAAAACTTGACCCCTAAACCCGAAGCATCCCTAAACCCTAAACCCTAAAAATGCCCAAACACTAGACCCTCAACATCCCTAAACCCTAAAACCCCAAGCCCTAAACCTCCCTAAACCCTAAAAACCCTCAACCCCACAAGAAAACCCTCTCCTGCAAGGTTCCAGGCTCCTTCAAAGCGACAGCGCACGTCTGCAAGCTCTCGCCGGCTTCGCCTGGGAAGGGTGCCGAAGCCCGCTTGGCAAGGCTGCCAAACTGCGATGCCATCATTGCTACGATTGTTGTTGTTGCTGCACTGCTCACTACTCTTCTTGTTACTACAAGTATTATTTTTGATCAACCCACAAAGACGGTCAAGAGCTGCCCATGCCGACCTGCAGCACGCACCCAGCAGGGCCGCGAGGTCTTGTTCCCCCATTGTTTGGCGACATCTCGGCTCAAGGAACCAGCACCGAAAGAGCTGAAACGGAGCCAAGCAGCTTTGAAGCTTAGAACTCCCCGAAAACACCCTACCCAGTTCAGCGCCAGCGCCTTCAACCTTCCAGACGTCGCCGCTGTAGGACCCGTCGGACTGGTAATTTCTCGAGGATGCCGCAGGGACGCCGTACTCGTACGCACAGGTGAGGTGCCTGGCTGGTGTATGTGTGCGTGTGCAGTGAGCATGGACACACAGCACGATACGATGTTGACCTCTACACTCGGAGATAACATACGTAGACAGAACAAGAGAGAGACAGAGACAGAGACAGAGACAGAGACAGAGAGAGAGAGAGAAGAGAGAGAAAGAGAAAAGAGAGAGAAAGGGAGGGAGGGAGGGAGGGAGGGAGGGAGGGGAGGGAGGGAGGGAGGGAGGGAGGGAGAGTAGATGGATGGATGGATGCTCGCCCTCCTTCATCTTCTCTTCGCCCACACTTCTTTCCCTGCCCTCTCGCCCAGGCACTGTTTGGAAGAGGGGCCACCGAAGTCAAGCTCCTCCATCGTGGGGACCGAGACCAGGGCCCAAGGCGTGTAACCTGAAGACAAGCACCCTCAGCCACGGCCATGTCTTCCAAAAGACATCTACACTTGACGAGCAGCTATAGGTCCGGCGCCGGCGAGAGCTGGCAAGGAGCCGTGGCTCTGCCTCGAGGTCCTCGCCTCCATTTCAAGAGCAGAAAGCGCTGCCGCGCCCGCCCCGCGCCCGCACCGCGCCCGCGCCTTCCTCCCTTTGGAGGCGGCGCTGAGGCTCTGCGGCGTCGAAGTCGAAGTTGGCAGCCTCCGAGCACTCCTGACAGAAGACGAGCCTGCGTGGCTGAGCGGTGCGCGGTGCTCTCTACTGTGCTGTGCTCTTTTGTCCTTCTTGTGGAGACCTTGACCGCCGTGCTTCTTCAGGATGGCAAGAATCTCTGCCTCTGCAAGTCACAGCTTCTGTTCCTCACGCACAGAGACAGATGCGAGTGCCGTCTTCAAACGGATTCATACAGGATCGGCTGCTTGCAGAGTTGCTGGGGTGCACCAGCAATGCTTCACGTGCCACGGCGCCGGATCTACGGTGTAAGGCTCCCCGTGCTGATCGGTGCCACATTTCCAGGGCCCGCTGGAGACCACCTGACAGGCGGACGATTGAGTTTTGGGTTTAGGACCTGGGACTTAATTTAGGGGGTCTGGGGTTTCAGGCGGCTAAACCCTAAGGGCGATCCTCAAACCCTAAACCCTAAACACACTGCCTCACTCAGAGGACGGCCAAGAACTTTGCCACTAGCTTCTGCTGGCCTTGTACGCACGCTCTGCTTCCGGCACAGTGTAGATCTGTCCGTCGAAGAGCTCGGGCGCATAGGTTATCTCGCCGTTACAATGGCACACGTCTTGCTCCTTCCCACACCAGTATGTTCCTTAATGAAAACGCAGCAAAACGTTGAGGCCGTGACCCATTTCGAGACTTCGAGGCACGACACCGCGGACGAGGGGTTGAGCGAAGCGTGATGAATCCCTAAGCGGTGTGCATTGGCAGGTTGCATGGATCACCGACACCTCATCAGCTTCTGGCCTGGTTGTACCTAGAGATTGCCCTGGCGGTTTCAAGCAGTGCTTGCCCCCAGTCGTCGCCGTCACACAGGTCACAGCAGCGACTCGTGTCCGCACTTGCGGGTCACCTGGCCAGACTGGTGCCTATTGCTCAGGCAGCTTGCGGCAGGCCTTGGTGCAGAGTTGGTCACCTGCACTCTGCATTGTGGCATTTGCCGTCGGCATCCAACCCGTGAGCAGCTAGCTCCAACTCATTTTGGTGGCAGCAATGGCTAAGGATATCATAGAACAACTTGCAACTCATGTGTGCCACGTCGGCCCTCATCTTCAGCGCATCCCCAGCGCCCCCAGCCCAAGAGTGTAAGGATGTCAGAGAGCCAAACAGACACACGGGTTGGCATCCTAATTCGAAAAGCTCGAACCATGGCTCCAGGGCAGATGGCAATCTCCTCTGTCAGGAAGACCGGTGGGCTCGTAGATGGCATCGAGCCCAGCTGGTAACCGCCACAGGTGCTCCTTGCAAACGAAGGCCGAAGGCATCCGAAGGCCACGCAGTCAAATGCACTCAGAGGTGAGTAGGTCAGGTCCTGGTTTCAGTATCAGCGCAGCTCACTCCGGCTGCCAGCACCTCGCACTCTGTCTGCCGCCAGGCTGGCCGAACCTCCCATGCCTGGGCAAAGGCTCAGCGCCGGCCCAGATCCATGAAGCTCACGGCAGTTCACGGTTCCGGCGTTCCGCCTGCGCCTTTCGAAGGAAATCCCCCGCATTGTACATGCCGACGAGCATGCCTGAGGAAGCAACAGGAAGTTTCAAGATTCAATCGATGACTACTCCAGATGCGTGCCGTGCCTATGGTGAAGAACCATCCACAGATGCAGCATCCGACGGTGCACTGAATCACCTCTTTCACGTCCTCTCGGGGGAATTGAAGCATGTCTTGCAGTGTAAGCGTGCTCCCTGTGGTCGCCGGAAACATCGGTATCCAGAACGACCGAATCGGCAACCAGAAGACCTGAACCAGAAACCATGATTCGGAAACTACAAAGGCTGCTTTGGAAACCACGACGGCTGATTCAGAAGCCAAACCGACAGATTCCGACACCACACCATGATTCGGAAACGGAACCGGTTTCTCGGAAACCCGAAGCCATGATTACCAAGGGTGGCTTCTTCCAAACGCGAGTCTGACGGTCCGAACCATCGGTTCCATGTCATGCAGATCACTTGCATGAGCATATTCATGATTCATAAGGGTGGTTGTCAAAATTATGGTCCCTTTTTGGGTACCCTTAATGTCAGGTGCCGTATTATAATAAGGACCCGAAAAGGGACCCTAATTTTGACAACCACCCATGAGCATCTGGACATCAGTAGTGTTCATGTTCCCCTCGCACCGCCCTCTCAGCTTGTACGGTGCGATAAAGCATGGACTCAAGCCTCATCGAGGAGCCTGAGAACGATGACGCGACAAACACGGCAGCTCAAAACAAGTATGTTTGTCCGGAGCTGGGGACTTGCCCTCAACTCCACCTCCCACGGCCTAAGGGCTTGGGAAGGCTCAAATCTCAATGCTTCACGAGGTTGTACGTCGGCCTTACTCAGTCGCAGACCGATGCAGAAACAAGGTGCAACTGTCGCATGCATGCAATCAGCGTTTTTCTGTGTCCACAAGCCAAAAATGCGGCCAGCAGTCTAACGCAAAGGCTTCGAGTCTTGAACCATGACTTCTCAAAACATCTGAAAACGTGACCTGAGGGTTCTGTTTGGGTTATTGATGCTCTTTTCTCAACACGCTTTCGGGCATGGACGTTGTCATGGTTGGGCTATGGATGGTCTCTTGTCAGAGTGCATCAGACCATGGACGTCATCCTGTTGGGTCATGTGTATTGTCTTCTCCGAATGCATTGGGGCATGCACGCTATCATGCTAATGCGTTCTGAGAAGAGAGCATCCATAACCCAACCATGATAACGTCCATGGTTTACTGCGTTCTGAAAAGAGAGCATCCATGGCCCACCTATGATAACGTACATGGCCGAATGCGTTGTGAGAAGAAAACATCCATGGCCCATCCATGATAAGGTCCATGGTTTTAATGCGCCAAGAGCATAGAACATCCTTGGCCCAAACATGATAACGTAAATCCGGTTTAATGCCTTCTGAGAAGAGAGCATCCATGACCCAACCATGATGTCGTCCCTGGTCTCACGAATTCTGACAAGACAGCAGCCTTTGGCCAACCATTGCTGAGAACAGAGTATCCAAGGCCCAACCACGGATGTCCATGGTCTCAAGCGTTCTCTCGGGAGGTCGGTCATCCAGAGGCCAACCATAACGTCCACGTTGTAATGCGCTCTGAGAAGAGAATATCCATGTCCCATACCATTGTCTGATGCATTCTGACATCTTCTCAGAGCACATTGGACGTCAACATAGTTAGGACATGGATGCTGTCTTCCCAGAACGCCTTCGCCCATGGACGTCATCATGGTCAGCGCATGGATGTTTTGTTCTCATGGATGTTATCATGGTTTGCCCATGTCTCTGCTCCCAATACGCATTCGACCAAGGACGATATCATGGGAGGCCCATGGATGTTCTCTTGTTAGAGTGCCTTCGACCACGGACATCTATCATGGTTGGGTCATGTATGCTTTGTGCTTAGCACGCATTAGACCATGGACGTTATCATGGTTGGGCCATGGATGCTCTCTTCTCACCACTCCAGCATGGCTTCCAAATACGCCGGCTCGGTTTCTGATGCGTGCTGGTTTCTGATGGGCAGTTTCTGATACGTACCGGTTTCTGATGCGCAGTTTCTGATGCACAGCGGTTTCTGATGCATGCATGGCAGCTTCTGATGCGAAATTTCCGGTTTCGGATGCGCAGTCTCTGAGTCAAGGCCCATTTTCTGATTGTGCGATGGATCTGCTCCCTGTCTTGTTCTGGGCCCCATGGTGTGGACGAGCCCACTCACTCGCTCACTAGCTGGAAATGCCCCGCCGGCGCCCCCAGAGAGAGAGCACAAAAAGTGTGTCCCCTACGACCGCGTCCAGTTCCTTCGGTGGATGCTGCCCTCGAAAACTTAAGCTTCAAGCTCAACGCCCCGACACTGGAGCGCTCGAATCACTTCCTGTATGCCACAACCCAGATCACCATCATCAACAACAACAACAAAGGCCCGCTTAACATTGTTAGTTTTCTATGACCATGATATTATATCACTATTATCACCATCTCACCTACGTCTTTGTCTCGAACCACACAAACAGCAAAGATTGCAATGACCCTGACAAGAAGAGTCGTCTGTCCAGCGCTTTGATCCATTTTCCGGGCTGCTCGCGGTACGCCATGCGAACCGAGGCTGCAGGAGAACGAGCCAGACCTACCAAACCCGGTTGTCGTTCTTAGCATGACGATGCTTCTGCCGGTCAGCGCCGTTTTTGCAGAAAACTTCGATCTGGCGAGTTGGGATTACGATCGGCGAACAAACCCAAAACCTCAAAGGCCTAGGTGTTGAGCAAGCAAGCAATTAAGCCTTCCTGAACCTCAGACGCCAAGCATTTGAGCCAGGAACCTCAGGAAGGCATTCCGTCCACATCAACAGTCACCGCAAGTACGAGCTGCGTGGCTAGCGGGACAAACAGGGTCAGACTTGAGAAGAAGAACTGCGAAGAAGACAAAAGAGACGCTCACAACAGCAGCAGCGTCGACAACAACGGCAGCAGCAGCAGAACCACAGACAGCAACGACCAGAACACGGACTACGACCATGACAACTGAGACCGTGAGAAGGGTTTGTAACGACGACAGCGCCAAGCCGACACTGGCAGCAAGCCGAGGTCCGAGCGGAGCGAGCGGCAACTTAGGCAGTGGTTCCCGGACCCTGCATGTGGCAAAGGAGTGTCTCTCCACCCGACTGCTTACTGTATCAGCTTAAGCTTTCGCACCTCCTGCTCATGAGGCAGGATGGCCTCCTGCACGAGCTATGACAAAGAGTTGCAGTCAGAAATCTCACCGAGCACGTGCTTCCTCCTGTAGGACAAAAGGCTCGAGGACAAGAGCTCCCATCGAGAAACATCTCAGGAGAGCTGATCACAATGGCTTCTGCCTTTTGCGACTAGGAAGGTCTGCGGAGTCCGAAACTCTTAGGTCTGCAACTGCCGGTGCTCTGCTTGGTGCTGGTAGTAACATCAACAGGAGCATCTTGACCGGCACAGCATGGTGAATACTTCCCGTAGCTAGCCCTTGAGTGGGACGCGCGGAAACACTGCCTGTGCTCTCACCGGTCTCACCCGCTACTGGAACCCGCAATCCACGGTGAAATTATCTTGCATCTAAACTAACTACACCGGCCGCAAAGCTCCGGAAGAACCTGGAGATGAAAGTCCGCCCACTACGCTGGCACGTAGCTTCTTGCAAAACCAGGTTTCCGAGCAGTCACTGTGGTTGTCACGACCCGGTGCCAGTACTTTTTGGAACTAAGCTCTCGCAGAGTGTGGACTCACAAGCTTAGCACACAAGGGGCGGATCATCACAATACCCATAACAAAACAAAGCTCCCTCCCTCCCCCTTGCCCAAGCACCTACCAGTGCAAAATTGTACAAGTCCACTCCATCGCAAACGACACAGTTCTTGCTCTCAACCCGAACAACAACTTGCGCATCTGAAACCCTAATAGTAATCCTAACACATGCCAACTTCCAACGTGCTCTGGCGTTGTGCAGATGGTCGTCGTCATCATCACCAGCATCTTTAGTGGCTTTCGCTCCAAGACAGGAATGCAGAGATCCTGATTTAAAGCGGTCGGCGCTAGGGGAGCGTGCGACAAAACAAAGCAAATATGTTGGGTCGAAGGGCCTGCTGAGTTTCACAGCTATCTGCGACAACATGCAACAACCTTTCTGGGCCTTCACCTCCCTCCGGTGCCTTCGGTTTTTCTGCCTGCTGGCGGAGTCTCGGCAGTGATGTCGGAAGTTGAAGTGTACAGTCACTACCACGCGAACTTCAAGCTTCTGGCTAGCAGATCTTCGATCAAGTTGCATGCAACATCACGCGGGACGGCAGGCCCCCAGCGCAACACCATCACGGTTGGTCGATCAAAAGCTACACAGCAAGTACATGAAAGCATATCATCAGACTTCACTGTAGCCTGCCCGATCTGCCAATCGAATCAACACAACGTAGCTGGCAATGTCGGAAACTTCCCCGGCACGCGCACTGACAGCTGCAACCAAATACCGTTCTGCATGCGGCACTTTGCCCCCTATGTGATGCCTCTGCTTATGAAAGGCATCTTCCCTTGCAAAGCCACATCGAAGCATTGAGATAAGGACAGGACTCAAAGTGAGGACTCGAGCGCCTGGCATGCGGACTATCGGCCTCTTGAGCCTTCTTGCAACAAGGAGGATCCCGGCCTTGTACACGTCCAGCACTTTCTGGTAAGGGATCTGTTGCTTGCACAATGCCTGAAGGACATAGCAACCACAGACACACGCACACGTCTCAGTCAAAGGTCCAATGGCAAGGAAACCCTCGACGTCGCTCGACCTTGCTACGCAGAGGTCGCTGCCCAGTCCGGCCTCCTGCACCTCAGCGATGTGCTTGCGCACCATCCCCCGAAGGTCCACATGGGACGCCTCCAAGGGCGATGCATCCTGGGACAGGCTTCTCTGGAGATTCCGTTTCGGACGCTCTCTTTCGCGAGTAGCCTCGGGGCAGTCCGCCGGCTCGCGGTGCTCGGAGTGCGCAGTAGACTGCTTCTTGTCCTGTCTCTCTCACACACACACACACACCGGTCGAACAAAAGCTCTGGTGGCCTCTGGTCCAGAACATGAGAGAGGGCTTGGCGACGCAGCTCGCGGTTCCGCAGCCTTGGCCTTCAAGAGCTCCGGCCCTGCCTCGGCCAACTCCCCACATGCACTCCGCGCACCTCCGACATTCGTCTCCCCGAGTCCGCCGCAGCTGCTGGAGCCGGAGGCTCCTCGATCGAGGGCATCACCGCCAGGGGCTCTTCCCGCGCCTCCGGCTGCAACTTGGCCTGTGGAAGTGTAAAGTGTAGGGAGCCCAGCAGACTCACGCGGCTCTGCGCGCCTCAACCTCACCCTGTTCCGTCGACGCTTCCCCAGCGGCCTCGCATGCGAAGGCCTCCGGACATGGCACAGCAAAGCATTCTGGCCAAAGACTCTGCAGCTGTTTGTGGAGCAAGCAGGTGCTGCATGTCTCTCGACGATCCTCCGCTTCATGCTTCAGAGCACGATGGGCGGCGGCCTCATGCCTTTCGATCGTTGGCTGCTTGCCGCGCAGCCGACGACCCAAAGAAACCATCTGCTGAAAGCTCAGCCTGCTCCAGCCACAGAAGCTCTCCCGCACTGCTGCAAACGCAGGCTCAGCCCCTGCCCGGCACCTCGCGTCTCGAGCCTTTGGCACAGGTTGCACCTGACAAGAGCGAAGCTTGCAGGTACAGCTGCCGCAGCGGCAATGAGTGCACTGTTTGTATTCGGGTGCGAATCGCTGCGAAGAGCAAGGCCTGTCATTCGCGCATGCCAGCGTTTGGAGTCACATCTGTTAAAAAAACAATGGTCTAAGGGAATCGACATCGTGAAAACAAAACCTGATGCATTGCGAACTTGAGCTACGGTGTCCGCCGCGCATTCGCGCACGGCGCTCTCGCAGCTACGTGCCGCCCGAAACAGTAGTGCTTTCTTGCCACAGGGAGTCGAAGCTGGTGCAATGTTATACTGTTAGCTGTTGTGGCACTACAAGCAGATGGAAGGGCCGGGTCCAGAAAGCTTCAGTCTTCCTCTGCGCCGGATTGGTAATGTGGCTCCGGGAGCTGGTGAGGCACTCGCTGGTCGCTGTCGTCGCTCCCTGCTCTACGACAACACTGTTGCAGCCTCGGAAGCCACTTTTCCCAGGGCTTTTTGCAGACCTGACAAGTAGACTCAACCACAGTATTTTCCATGTCCAAGCCTCGATTCTCTGCGTCGGCTTAACAGACTTACATCTTCTATCTTCGTGCTGATTTGGCACGACAGGAATGTTGCTCAATGGTGCCCTCGCCCTGCCTGAAGAGGCAGAGGCATCGGCAGAGGCAGATCCCCTTCCTCGCTTCGACTTTCGGCTGTAGGCCTGCAAAGGCGGCGAAACGCAGCGGAGGCGGAGCCCTGGCTCTTTTCTTCTCTTTGTGCCTGCGCCTTCTCCGGAAAGAAGCGGTCCTCCGGCTCTTGCAGAGGTGTGGGCTCCTGGCGAAAGCTCCCCCTCTCTTGGACTGCGCTTTGAAGCCGAAGTCCGAAGCCTCGACTTCCTCAGGCAACTGTTGCGTGGGGCACAGCTCCTGTCGAAAACACCGCAGAGCTCGAGGTCATCCTCCAGCCTCTTGCATGCACAGCTGGCACTCAGCGAGACTCCTCGGCAAGCTTCTGAGTCGGGCAGACATCCTGAAGCGGACAGCGGCTGGATTTGAAGTGTCTCAGCAGATATGAAGCACACGAGTCTCGCAGTCAAAGAGTTCAAGAACTCTGTCCTCAGGCACGTTCTCCGCGACGGAGCATCCCTGAAGGAGAATGAATGCAGGCAGTGCTGCGGTCATTGAGACAGCACGGGACCAGCACGAGCTTCTGGACTCCATCTTTTATCATCCTGATCTGTACAGTCAGTTCTGCCATTTAGCCTTGCGAGGGTGTGGGGAACCCGGTCACAAGTGGCAGGAAGCCCGGACGAGCCACGTCTGGGAACCAAGACTCTGTACATGCTGTACATGATGGGCTATCATTGCCCACAGTACTGTGAGGGCTCCTACGAAGCCCTCTGACGCTCAAAACCCTAAAACACATCTCAGTCCCATCAGGGATCACCGTTCCGCTCCCCCTGCTCCCGTCCCCTCCCGTCCGCTCCTGCTCAGAACGCTCTGAAGAAACCGATCCTCATCGAAGTCTTCCCGCTCTCGGAGTCGCAGGGCGACTTTGGAGCTCCTCCGCAGCCGTCAATTCGGGAGCTTCGCGCGAGAGAGAAGGCTGGAAAAGCGGCAGTACATGCGCAAACCAGAAAGTCAGGCCTGATTCGCTCAAGGATGTCCTTCTCACCATGCCTCTGCCACTTGGCCACAGCCTCGCAGAACTACAGGAACTCTTTTTCTGCAGGCGAAGACCTGGTACAAAACCCGGTTCATGACATCATGATGGTGCATGACATGGGCGGCGTGCATACCGAAAACCGCTCGCGCACTCTTGGGTGCATCTACACACACTAACACTACCCGCCACCGCAGAGTCGCTTGCAACCAGGATGCCTTGTTCAGATTCTGCAAGTCCTTGTGCAAGCGACTCCTTGCTCTTGAGTCCTCCTCCGAGCTGGGAGCCTGCACGGATGGGCTAAATTCCGTTCCTGACCGCCTTGGAACAGCACAACCCAGAAAAGCCTCTGTGCTCACGCTGCTGGTTTCGAGCTCCTCCCAGGTGTCTGGAATCTCAGTGTCCTCGGTTAGGATGCACCCAAAGACACATCTGCGAGCACCAAGCTGTGCCGCCAAATGGCTGGCCGAAGAATCCTTTGAGCGGGCCTGCGCTCAAAATCATCAAAGGGTCCCAAGCAGTCCGACGGGCCCTCGGCCTCTCGGCTGCACCCACGATCTCTGGGGCCGCTGGGGCCGCAGTCGGGCGAGGCAAGACCGGCTGCGATGTCGCCACGGACACCGGAGGAGTTGCACGAAGCGCAGCGGAAGCGGAGGCATCCTTGCACTGTGCAACAGCAGCACCGAGTAAGCACGATGACAACCGACGGGAATTAACGAGACGCCAATAACATCCACGGAAGAGCAGAGATGACAAGAGCGAAATTGCTTTGCCACGAACACTCAAAAGCACCAGCAGGAAGCACCATGGGCTACCCGCATGGAAGTCCTGCCGCTCTCGATCCCCTCGAGGGCGAGCAAGCCAGGGTGGCACGTGTGGCACCGGGTTCTGCAAGGCTGCGGGCGCCTTCAACAGACTGGAACATCGCCCGGCCACGACGGAGGGACCCTTTGGCCCTGGCTACCAGATTTTACTCAGGTGCCTCAGTGGCAGCAGCTCGGCCGGACGAACGACGGGTGCCCTGAAGCCATGGCGGTGCGCCGGCTGCCTCAAACTGGAACTGGAGCCATGAAGGTGCCGGGTTCAGGAGCTTACGGCTTAGGGCTTAACAAATTGAGGGATCTTTAACAAAAAGGAAAAGATGGTGGACGGAGCGAGCCTTGGCTGTCGGCCTAGCCGCGGCGCTCCGCTTGGGCGTGTCCTTCGTCTTCTTCGTAGGTCGTGCCTCGGCCTCGTCACGCTGGAGCGACTCCTTGGTGCTTGCGCTTTGCAGTGCAGTCGCAAGCCGGACGTTGGGCTGTGCAGCTGGACCCTCATATTTCCGCACGACATCTGTTCACGAAGACTTTGAAAGACAGTGTGTCTAGGACACACTGGAGAGAAGGTACATTCGCTGGAAGCCTTAAGCATCCTTGCCAAAACCTGCACGGTCACGGCAGTGACCGCAATCTTCAAATGAGGTTGACAGATTCAACATGTCAACCCCTGTGCAATGATGCGTCTTCCAAGACAAGGCATCTCCGTGCGTTGACATGATCCCTGTATGGGGCACTATGTCTTTCTCTCCTCTTTGAACACATCCTCTAATTCTGAATACGGATTGCAGCTCATGTCAAGGAATTAAAGTCTCCAGAAGGCTTCGACGCTCACTGCAGCGGTGCGATTCTGCTGAAGTCCGGCGGCGTCGGAGGGAAAAGCTTCTGCCAAATGGTGGAAGCAAATGAAGGGGGGTTTGCGGGATTTGAACCGGGCCTGGCTTGAGAGCCTGGCTTGCCCGAGCGAATGGAAGTGGAACGTCTTTTCGACACACTACTGCGAACTTCCTCATCAAATTCAACCACGGAGGTTTTCTGCCAAAGGTCAGTAACCAGGACAAAGCCATGCATGGCATCCACGTAGTTCTGTGCATAGGCTTGGGCAAGGTTCAGAATGTCATAGGAGCGCCTCATCGAGGCGTGAAACTGCTCGACCTTCACCGAGATGACCTGAGAACAGCAGCTGCCGCTACCCAAACGGAGCTGAGCTGAGAACATACTACGGGCTGGGTTCACAAAGGGGGGGTTATTGGCCGATGGCCAACTTCATTGCCTCAGAATCCTCCACAGCCGAGAGCTCGCCCAGATGCAGCCAGGGAGTCCACAGGCACATCTCCACCAGCCAGCAGTGCTCAGAAACGGAATGCGTTGCAGAGCCGAGCAGGTACGTCAGGCGACCCGACGTCAAGAAAAACGCCTCTCATGGTGTTCGTGAATTTTAGGGCTTAAGGGGGCAGGGCGCCCACATTGACACGCCCGACTTGTGAATTGCAAGGCCTGGCCTCTGAAGCCACATTGCCAGCTTCGAAAACTGTGTCGGTTGCTGCAAAAGTTCTCTGCTGGAGGGCCTTATGAGCTAGCCTCTTCACGGCATCGTCGCGACAGCTCTCGGGGAGGATAGCCACGAAGTCCAGCTGCCTGCAAGGCCGGTCACTTTACGGCGCCTCTCTCTGATCTCTGATCGTAGTCTATGTTTAAGAATGCAACCACACCGGAACGGCCCGGAAAAGTCTTGAACTCTCACAATGCCTGAGGCAACTCTCGTAGCGTGCACACTGCAGCTCACCCCGCAAGGGCTTTGAGAGGAGATCCAAAAGCGGGACCCTGGTTTCCAACAATGTCTGCTGCTTCAGGTTGTACGCATGCTCCAGAAAGCCTGCAAAAAACAAAAACAAAAAAACGAACGCCGACCACATGGTGTACTCGGCACTGTCGAGTTAGTGGCACAAAACGTTTTGAACATGTACGTAAGCTAAACTCGAAGAAGCTGCGAGAACCCGAAAGCCATACGAACAGAAACCCGAGCTGAGGGCCAGGAAGCAGTGGATTCGCAGCGAGAGCTCCGGCGGGATCCGATGCCGGCCTAGGAACTTGCCAAGCTGCCGGAAGAGGCGTCGCCTCTCTTCTGTGCTCTTCGACAGAGTGGCTGTCTGGCTAGCAATTGTCGCGAGCAACGTCGAAAATACCGCCAAAGCCAGCAAAGCGAACAGGATGCCAAAAGCTCGCTCGGCCGTGTTCACGGGCTCGATCTCCGTGCCGCCGAAGCCGAGTTGGCAAAAGGTCCTCTCGACTCTCTATTGACACTATTGCGGCGGATGGAACTATGCTACCTTGCATGAAAGAGACCATGTTGTACCGAACTGCACCGTGCTACAGCATCGAACGATTATGAGATGAGGAGGTGTACCCAGACATATAAGAGATGATAAAAGCGTGGCAAGGTTTGTCCCTGTGGCTGTGATCGGGGGGATGATGATCTTCCTTAACCCCCCTTCAGCTCTGCACCCGCGGAGAGGCCAGAGATATGAGAATGGAGCAGAGCGGAAACGCCACAGAGGGGCTGGGCCCGCCACCCGGCATGACATCAAGGCAGTCCAGTGCAGCGAAGTTGAGTACTTGTAAGAGACGGTCGCGCCGTCCAAGTTCTGGAACACCCAGCCAGGAGACTCCCAGGTACCAACACAATACCTCGGCTCGACTGCTCGACTCGGCTCTGTTTTTGCTCTTGTCCCCTTCCTCAAAGCTGCTTACTCGTGCCTACTGCGCTATACTTTCATTCAGCCATCAAGCCAGCAGCAAGCGGTGAGGTGATGAATGAGCAGCAGCTGAACGGAGATCTGCATGATGTTCGCGTTAGCGCTCAGCATTTCGGATTTGAAACGACTCTTGATGCCCTCCGCCATCTTGCTCATTCCTCAACTCAGAAAGCTCAACCTATCATGCAAGTGAGGCTGAGAAGCATTGAGCCCTGAACCGCAGAAGCCAAAACCATAAACACAAAAAGCTCTGTCACATTGACACGCGAAAGCCTTCTCAGCTTGAAACAGAAAACCAGACATGCCTCTACAGCTTGAAGCGATGTGTCGGAAAGACAACAAGACACAGAAGTGGTAGGTATCAAAAAAGAACTCATCATCACCATGTCTGTCCCGAGTCTGGTAAGCCGGACCAGCCGGAGAAGGAACTGGGTCAAGCGAAGTGTGGCCATCGAATCCCGCGGTATCTGCTCGCCGAAGATCGCCACACAATCCACGACAACATAGAGTACGTCAAACAACAGCCACTCCCCAGCATATCTTCTTGCAATTTGGAGGTGCCGGCACTCCAGCTCACCTTTCCAGTAGTATGGGGTGCAGAAGGCCATCAAGATGTCCAAAGTCCAGAAGCACGGAAGCAGCAGAGCCACCCCGTGCAGGGGGCTTTGCGCATATGGCCACTTCTCGCTGAAGACGTTCAGCGGCCCAAGCAGAAGGTCAAGAACCAGGCAAAGAAGGCCTTGGGATTTGGGATCGAATGGCTTCGACAAGGCAGGTAACCGTAGCTCTCTACTTGCTGCCTGGTGCATCGTCACGTCCAATCACACGTTAAGCCGCGGGCTCAAAACGTCCCAGGTGCTGCGCAACATGCCAGCCGGCAGCAGGATGGACCTGAATGTAAGCTTCTTGGGC